GAGTGGCCAAAATCTGGAATGGGCTCCCAAGGGAGGTGGTGCTCTCCCCTACCCTGGGGATCTTCAAGAGGAGGTTAGATAGGCATCTGGCTGGGGTCATCTGAACCCAGCACACTTTCCTGCCTATGCAGGGGGTCAGACTTGATCTATTGAGGTCCCTTCTGACCCTAACATCTATGAATCTATGTTCATTGTGATTGAACAATGGATACATCCTGTTTTTTCCTCAAAGTAATAAAACAAATCCAGCTACACTATCTGCATTTGCAAAGTGGATTGCATTTAACAAGTACAGAATTTGAAATAACTTCTAAACTAGGCATTATTAATGAGGTACTCACACGTAAATCTTGGCAAGCTAGAATGTTATCAAGCCATTTGTAGAGATAGCCATCAGGAGAAAGACCCACATTGTCAAATACAGGGCCACAGCAGAGTACAGCTGACATTGCCTGGTAATACAAGGAAATGTAGTAGTTACACAACTGTGTAATGTATATGAAGGTATTTAACAGATTTCTTCATACCTGCAAGACATTTGTATTTATATTTAAGGCAAAAAATAGTGGGGATTTTTTTGCCGGATTTCTACATGTACACTGATCTAGAAGTTAGTTTCATTAATTAAGGTGCTGAATTAAATTTTTAAAGCACCTAAATACTTGGTATTAGCCAAGTTATGAAATTTATTTTATTTCACCCAATCTTTTATATTGAGATTATAAAATAATTAAAAATAAATTTATGTTTCAAATGCAAATTCTCTGTCAAAGTTGAAACTGATTTACTAAATTGTTTTGTCATTTGATGAAACATATATTGGTAAACAGGGCATTATTTTTCCTGTTTACTTGACTGCTTGATTGTAATACTTACAGCTGAAACAGAAGATGTAAACTATTGAGCTCATCTCTATGTAAGAATAGGAAATAATCCTTTTGAAACAGGATGTACCTAATACTGAAGTGGTATTACACTTGAACTTGTGTCTGACCTCTTGGTCTTTTTGAATAAGGAAGAAAATAACAAAAGAAAAATGCATGGGCAAAAAAGCAGCCAGCCATGAAAAACAGTGGTAAATCAGTGATGCTCAGCCTTTTGGCACTACAGGCCAGATGGGTGGTGCAGAGCCATCTGTAGGCTGGACCAGGCCACCTAAAGGCCAGATCACGCCATGGTGCCTGATACTGCCTCCTCCCAGCCCCAAGTGCCAGGATTGAATCCCAGGGGCCTAGCACTGCCTGCTCCTGCCCTCTGGGATTGGGCTGCAGGGGCTGTCACTTTTCCCTTCTGTCCCCCATGTGTCAGACTCAGAATCCAGGGGGGTGGCATTTCCCCCTCCCCTTCTTGTGCCAGAGTTGGATTCTGGGGGGCTTGCATTGCCTCCTCCCCACCCCTTTGCACTGGGTTTGGGCCCTGGTGCTGCCCCTGCCTGGCCTTGTGCACTGGGATTGGGCCCCAGATTCAGTGTACAGGGTCCAGAGCAACCCACGGGTCCAGAAATTTGGCAGTGGGGGAGCAGTGCCATTGCTCTCCTGCCACCAAACTTCTAGATGCAGTGAGAGCTCCATGGGCTGGATATGGCCTGCAGGCTGATAATCTATCCCTTCTGTAGATCATAAAAACAGAAAAGTAAAGCTTCTTTTGATTATATGCATATATATGTACACATATAAAATCTAATTAACAATAATTATAAGTAAAAGGAAATAATGGTTATTATTTTTCTTTCTTTTGAACTTAAATACCATTTCTGTAACCAGCATTACTGAATAGATAACTTTTAATGGAGAAATGAAAACATGTTATACCTTTAATGCACAGTACTGGTATCTTGTAATCTGGTGATTTCTGTCACTATAACGATCCAGTGGTGTAAACATAATACTGAAAGGTCCAGCCCATTGACTAAACAAGATGAAAAGATGGTGCCTCAAACTTTGCTGAGGGAAGAGGAATCTCCTATGATGAACTAAATGAATGAAAATAAAATCAGTTATAGTTTCCTAAAGCAAAACAAACACAGCAGAAATGAAGAATCAGTGTCCTCTCCCTAAGGCAGTAATGCTGATTCAAGGACTTCCTACCTCCATGAATAGAAAGTTTTAATTTATATTTGCAGATATATTTATTCGAAAATAACTAAACCTCTTTTGGTTATCCTAATGCCACTAATGAGACACCCTTTATTTTCAAGAGACTTAAAGTTTAAGCAAATATGTGTTTATATAAACATGTTGAGCCAAATCCAAATCTGCCTCTTAAGAGGCGCTTATGGAGTTTTTGGCATTTAAACAACTAAACACAATTCTAATCCACTCTATGCAGCAGCCACCAAGCATACTCAGAGCGGTTCCAGTGAAGCTTCTATTTTTCAGTTATGCCTCTGCTCCCAGCTTGTGTTCCCAAGGTTACATATTTTTTATTTAATAATCATGGGGTAAAATTCATGAACAGTATCAGCCCAGTACTCAGGCTCACCTAAACCAATGGCCTCTGCCACTAGGCCACAGGATCACAGTCCTTGCATGCTCTCCTTCTGGTACTATGATTCTTTTCCTCTTGCCTGCCCGGTGGCCCACTTCAACAGGAGAGGAAAAGGGTATGCTTTGCCCTGCCCTATCTATGGCCTGATGTTTAGGGCACATTGCTGGGAAGAGGAGATAAATGTTCAAACTTCCTCTGGCTGAGAAGGGCCTAAGACTTAGTTCCCTCACACTCCGGGTTAGCACCCTATTCACTAGATTACTAAGCTAAAAGGTTGGCTGGTGTCCTCCTTCTGTTTAGAACTCTTCCTCAAAGTAGGATGGATCAGAGCTGCTTACAGGATCTTTCTTTACTGAAATGTGAGGTGATAGTGATGTTCTTTCCAAGTGGATTAGGATTGGTGATGGCTGCCTAGGATCACAGTAGGAGAGCAATGTTCCTATGGAGGATGGATCAGGACTGGTCTTTGGTGGTGCACTATGTTTCCTATTTAAAGAATAGATCTCTCTGTGAGGATGTGGATTGCTTACTAATGCAGGACATGTACATTTCATGTTAGTTGTGGGAAAGCTCAGAGGTGAATTTGGATTTGGCTGCTGCATTTGTGAACAGCTAACTTCAGAATCAGGATGTTAATAAGGGGAGCTCACTGCTTCATACATTCTTTTTATGGTCAACTTTTGCTTGTTTATTTTTGTTCCAGGTCTTTCAATATAAGCCCTAATGATGGTTATGTATTACCCTACTACAATAGCAGGTCTGGGCAGAAAATAAAGCAATCCTATGATATTATTTCCTTATAAGGAGGTATGTTATGTTGACTGATATGCTCAGACACTTCCTAAGCAAAAGGAACATATCCGCTAATTCTAAAAAAATATATATAAAAAATTAAGACTGTTTAGCATAGTTCTAAATCCTCCAGCACAAAATGGTGGGAGACAGAATGTCTGAAAAAGCTGAAAGGCACTAAGGAGAAACTAAATTAACAGGGAAGAAATTACCATTTGCTAACATTTTCTAAGCCAGCACAGACAGTAGGAATTTCAGATAGAAATACCCAATAATAGATAAGCATAGAGCAGAAACTCATTCTGTGGAGCTGAAATAAATGAGACAAGATACTTCCTAACCTAGTAAAAAGGGAAAATCCATCTGAGAAGAAATAAGGAACAAGTTTAAACACCATCTTAGCCTAATAAAAACATTTCACCTGAAAGTACCCATCTCCTTGCTGCTTCTACTCCAGCAGTAGGGTCAGCACACTAACAAATTGCTGGACTCATGATACCTTTGACTACTAGATAGGAAGGGGGATATAAAATGGATACTCTGAACCCACACATGCGTGATTAAAAAAGACATTTAAGGTTAATTAGAAAGAGGCCGGGCACATTACTAACAATGGACTCTTTCCCCACAACTCCAAAGAATTAGGTGATACCCAAAAGCATAGTTTAACTAGCCAATAAAACCTCAATATTTAAAGTAACTAAAGAAGACTGAAGCTGCCACAATGAAAATGACTTTGTCCAGAGTTAAGTGGTATGTATGGTTTTGTTAGTTCTTGACATGCTTTGACATCTGCTGGTTAATAGAAAGATAACTGTCTATTCATAATCAAATGTTGAATTATTTAAAACACACATCAGTCATCGTTGGCTCTTTGCAGGACATCCAAACCAGCTGTTTCATTGTGCTCAATTCACATCACTACGCAGTACATATTAGACTATGAATGCAACAAAAATATAAGTAAAAAAGAAAAACTTTACAACTATTTACTGCTGAATAACTCCAATCCTGCATTTGGGACAAACATAAGGAGGGGAATGAGAAAAATAAAGAACTGAGTAAATTATCCATCGGTAACAGCTAACACATTGGCTCCATGCAAATTAATGAGAATTTTCCTACTCATTTGAATGGGAGAAAAATCAGATTTTGGCAGTAGTGTAACTTGCAGTAGGTGAGCAGGGCACTGGCTCTGGGTGCTAGCTAAATAGAGGCACCAGAACTGCACCCCCACTTTCTGTTAATTCTTTGTCCTGGCAGCAGTTCCACAGTGTTGCTCTTCCAGTAGCAGCTGGGTACACCCACACCATGCTGCTACTGTAGGAGCAACAGCTGGGGTGAGTATATCATGCTACGGCTGTGGCAACAGCAGCCAAGGACTGCTTTGAGGCCTCAGAGTGGATAAGCAAACTCTGCTCGTTATGCCTCTGAGTATGAGTGCTCTTTTTTTGCTCATCTATTAGGTATGTGATATACTTATACCTGAGAACAACCAAACTTGAAACCATCTAGCTCTGAATATTGCTGTCCTATGTTAACATTTGTATTCACTGCTCATTTCTTCATTTTCTTACTTTGCCTCCTTCTTGTTACCCAGTAGAAATGCTGTTGTTACTTGTTATAAGTAGGGTTACTATACATCCTGGTTCGGCTGAGGGAGTCCTGGATACTGTAGGCCATCCCCATGTCCCATCCAGTTGTTGAAAATTGAAACAAAAATCCCATAATTGGCTGCTGCAGGCTGTGGCAGGTGGGTAAGTGTGTGGGGTGCAATCTGGTGGGGAGGCAGAGTGACATAGTGTGTCAGGAAGGTAGGAGGTGGGTAGGCACTGATGCTGCTGTCTGCATGTGCCCAGCCTGGCTCCTCCTGAGCAATGACTGGAGGCAGAGTGGGTGGTTGGTGGGCTGGGTTGGGCACCACTCTAATCTGCCTGCCTTGCTCTCACACAGCAGCAGCAGCAGTGGTGCCTGCCCACCTGTATGCCTGGATCACCATGCCTCCGCACCAGACTGCACTCTGCACCCATGCCCACCTGCCTCTGCCTGCAGCAGTGCCATTGACTGGGGGTGGGATGGGGAAAGACAGCGTCCTGGATTTTCTTGGAAATAATATGGTCACCCTAGTTATAAATAATCTGTGATCAGAAATGTTTAAGGAGAGAACGAGCCTCCAGCAAGATTTTAGTTTCTAATGGTTAGGAAGGAGGCCTTTAGGCTGATCTTTTAATTTTTTTTTAAGAAGTGTACACTGCGCCAAGGAGGAGGCTATCAGTAGCTGTAAAAAAGGGGGGACAGAAGTTTTGCTGACATGAGGCAGAATTCTAGAGGCTAAGGCAAGTTTTCCATTATATGTTTAAACTTAAATGTTTTTCCAGCCACCAACAGAATGTTTTCCTTTGCTATGGCCTGAGTTCCCAGGAATTTAATGAAAACTTTGACATTTATTTCTAAACTGAGTAAGATAAGGGCCTATGAGGAAGAAACCTGGAGCTGAGACAGGCTGTCAAACTCCTTTGTTGCAATTAGAAAGAGAAGAATCTTATGTATGTGTGCTGCAGCCTTCACCAAGCTTTGTGATGTCTCCTGTTTTCATTCCTGAGAGAATTCTGTGTTCTGTTAACGATATTCCCTTATAGTTACTACACAAAAACCTAAAGAAGAAAGCCAATTTGACAGCATACCTGGAACACACTGAATCAAGTTAGCAATCATGGCGCTGAAGTGTGCTCTCATGTCCTTAAGAATTTCAACTTCTTTATCATTTTCAGCCTCCAGCAGCATGCGGGTCAAATCAACATACTCTAAAAACAAGGCTCCAAGGGCTAAGGTATCCCTCTCTAAGGCTCCATTTGTACTAATATAAAGAAAAGTTCAAAATTAATATGACAGGTATAGTTCATTTAGCATGTAGTACACCAAATTACAGACTTAAAGACAATCAGAAGTTTTACAGAAGCATGTCAAAAACATATTCTGTATATTTTCCAATACCCTAGTGAAGCTACTAAATAAATTACCTATCGGCACGCCCAGTGGAAATTCTTCCACTTACAAATACCATATTATTAATCCTACCTGTCACTTATAACACCAGCATCAGCAAGTAATTCAAAAATTCGCAGTAACTGCAGTCTTAGAAGATCTCGGCGCTCACGGCGTTTCTTATTCTAGGTTTTAAGCAAGAAAAAAATTATGAATACACACCCAGATACTGACATTTAAAAAAAGTCTTTGCAAGCCTGATCAAAGCAGCTATATTCAGTAGTGTGACTAGCGGGGGAGAGATGGAGAGCCACCCTCGGCACCAAGTTAGGAAGGACACCAGAATTGCTCCCTGCCCCCATGAAGTCCATGCCTTGGCAGCATGTATCCCCTGCAACCCACACTCCCTCCCCACACTCTCCTGCAGGGTATGTCTCAGGTAGCAACTCTGATTGTTACACTACTAGTCATGTTTAAGAAAGGCAGGATATAATAGTTTATATGAGTAATGATGGAGTATTACCTCCTAATACTGGTACTCTTACACAATAACATGAGCATAGTTATAGGCATGTTCATATATGTGATTTTCTTTCTAACAATTCTTTGTTCTAATAATTCTTTGTTTGAAGAAACTCTTTGTAGCCAAATAAGTCCTTGAGGGGAAAAAACAGGCAAGCAACTCTTGAAATACTGAAACAATAATATATAATTATTCAAGTTTTGGTGCCAAAATTGTATTTTTTTCAGGTGCTGGGATATTATATGATGTTCAGAAATGTGGTCTGTCTCTTAACTCCTTGAAAGTGAGCACAAGTAGTACAACTGTGTTAATCTGAGGGTATGTCTATACTGGTATAGTTAAAGACAACATTCTATCTCCAACAAAGTTAAGGCCTTGCCTATATAGGAATGTAATGTTGCACTAACTGAAATGACAATATTTACTTGATTCCAAGATGAGGTCACCCTAGAATTACCATGAGGGGAAAAGCCCCTCATCTTGGAATTGAGTATGATGCAGTGAGGAGACAGGCAGAAGCTGCAGCTCTGGCCCTAACCCTGGGGCCATCTTACACCTGGAGCCACAGCAGCTGCCTGCCCTCCCCACCACTGCCTCCACTGGGGCTGGGCCAGAACCAGAGCAAGCACATGCTCCATAGTTTCATAGTTTCCAGGGTTGTAAGAGACCTGAGTAGATCATCCAGTCTGACCCCCTGCCATGGCAGGAAAGAGTACTGGGGTCAAACAACCCCAGCAAGGTGTACATCTAACCTCCTCTTAAAGACCCCCAGGGTAGGAGCCAGCACCACTTCTCTTGGAAGTTGGTTCCAGATCCTAGCCGCCCTGACTGTGAAGTAGCGCCTCCTGATATCTAGCCCAAATCTACCCTCTGCCAGCTTGTGACC